TATTAGTTAACTATTTCAAATATGAACTATATCTTTTGAATTCACTCTGCTGTTATTTTATTAACTTGAATGACATATTCGGAAAAATAACGCAGTCTGATTTGTTTGTATGCTATTTATCTTTAAAACAATTTCAGTATTACATTCTTCATTCATTCAATTTATTACAAAACATTTTATTATATTTCATAAGTTAATTGTTCGATGATATTCGGAAAGCGTAGTCCAAATAAAACCTTTTGTCTTTCCATCAATTTCCATTGCGTCTGGGAGAGGAAAAGGAGTCGTACGATCATAATAATAATTACTAGGTGCATGCATTATGAATTGTAAAGCAGACAACTTTCGGGAAAGATCTTCATCTGGTCCTGAAAAAATTAGCATAACCATATTTAGAAAATAATTATTAAAATGTAGAATATAAAACAAATAATGAACCTTTTTAATAATATAAAAATGACTTTCTTTTTTTATTTTTTACTTATAGATGTATGTATATTTTAATTTTTTATTATAGTACTAAATATTAAAAATTGTTTTAATAAATTAAATAATTGGGATTTAAATACTATTTCGGCATACATACCTATTAAATACGAAGCTGGATCAAATCCATCGCGTGGGTCGGGACTTGCTTGTGTAGGAACAAGCCATGTAAGATAAGCAGATTTTTCGCAATAGGTATCAACTAAGAGACCACGTATTTGGGCGTAGTATATATTTCTCTTATCATCCATTAAGGATACAATATCGCCGACTTGAAGATAAGTTCCCTAAAACCAAATGTTTTTAATTATCATCAACAAATGTCTTTTAAAATCGACATACACACTTTGTAAAATACGCTCTCCACAACGTGCGTAGTAGCTTGTGCGACTGGTGTTTTTAAAGGTATTTTTTTGAAAATATTACGCCTGCTACGTCCTTTGCTATGTACTTTGGTATAATTGGATGTGTTTTGAACGTAACAGCTGTTCGAAGGAACATTATTAGTTTGAGTACAACTTTTCGCTTTAAACCGGGTTGATCGGGTACTTTTGCGAATTTTTTTTTCTTCTGCCGCCGCGACGTGCTTGCCTTCTCCAAGTATTCGGTGTGATTTACTTTTTGTTTCTTCAGATATATTATCAAACTCTACTAAACTAACATAATCATTCGAATTCTTTGTTTCCTTTTTTTCGTAACATTCTTGACAAATCTCGCCTTCTCCATTTTCCGACTGTCTCCAAAGAAGAGTTTCAGTTTTTTGACACTCAATGCAAATAGGGACACTTCTATTAGACATTTCTTTAAAAACTGTACGTAAATATTTTTTAAATGGTTGAAAATTCCGTTTTATTTTCTTGTTTAAAAATTATTTTAAGTAGTATAGAAATTTTAACACCATTAAGCACTATCAAACAGCATACATAGATCTATGTCAAACAGTATTAAATGAAATATAAACATAAACCAAGTGACGCAAATTTCTGCAAAAGTCGATAACATTATAATAATAATATTATGTTTACACGCTAATTTATATACGATTTAAATTACTAAAAGTCTATATTGATAGCCATATTGCCAGTGGTAGCTGCCCATATGTAATGACTAGGGATTGTGTCTAAATATATTTCATTCCATCTACTTCTAGCAATTACTGTAATTGATGGTTCGACAAAGATGTTTTCATTTCCACACAAATCTATAAGAAAAATCAGCTGCATTGCCGGCGTTCTCACAAGACTCTTCTGTTCCTAATTATCATTATTTATATGCATATTTACATAATGGACATATACATATACATTACATAACATTTAAATTTCCAAATATTCAGTTATACTACCAATGGTTTTGAGAACACGGTTTTTATTTTATTTGGTTGTCAAATAAAAAGTCGCTATACACGACTCACAAATGCTTTCGATCGGTATGAAAAACAAAAAAAAACATTTGTATAGCTTATGTGAACACAACTGCTTTTTGATAAAAAAAAATGTGGCCATTTTAAAAAATGAAATGGAATAGAAAAAATAAATGTTAGGGTAATTTATTTTCTAAATTCAATAAAATACATAGACCTGCTGTTATAATTAATTGATATCAGAATTATTGAATGTGTAACTCATTATTCGTGTTATTCTGCCAAATTGAAGTACGGAAGAAAAATGAAGAAGTCTGTCGTGTGTGTCTGCTTTAAGACCATATTTCTGACAAGCAAATTGAATACAAATTCATTTCTATTACTACGAGAATGGATAAGGAAACCACGCTTACTTATTTAATTGTTTAAAACGTGCGTTCATGAAGTTTTTTTTGATATCTGTGTTATTTCCAAATTTGTTTACGCATTATGTCTGCTCATTATCTACACTAATATTCATATTTTCATTATACCAAAGAACGTGTATTTAAATATATACATTTATATATATAAAAGTATTAAATATACGTTCTCTGATAATACTAACCGTGCGATTCTGTACTGTGACACACTACCAAGTCTCTAAATTTGAGATTTTAAGTTAGAGACAATTTTTGAGACTTGGGACGATTTTGCTGTTCTGTAAGTGACAGTCACAAAATCTATTACATTTCATTATTCAGAGATGTGTACCTCAAAATGTCTCAAATAGACCAGCCGTGCGATTCTGTACTGTGATACAGTATCAAGCCTCTAAATTTGAAAGAGACAATTTTTGAGACTTCATTCTAGACTATTCAGAGATGTTTTTATAATTGAATGAAAACAAATATGTAGATAACAAATATTAAATTTTCTATAACATAGTCAAAAAACATAATTATCAATAAAAAAAAATATATATGTTGACTTTGTTTCATAATGTAAAATTTATTTGTTTTTAACCTTTTCGGGTTTGTGTTGCTTACAAAATATAAAAAACGACAATCGATTAATGTCTATGGTGATGTCTATACAGTATATTCAAAATGGCAGACAAAAGTTCTTTTTGGTTTTGTGACTTGCTAACTACAAGGTCTCAAATTTGAGGCAATATTTTGAGACTAAAGCTAGAGACTGTTTAGTGAATAGTTACTAGTCACAAATTGAAATTTTACCACAAAATGTCTCAAATAGAGACTAGAGACTGTTTACAGAATCCCGATATGAAAACATCATCCTTAATGCTAATCGCTTTACGCCAGATGTCGCCTTGTATAATTTTATTGCTTTTCAGCTTTTAGAAATTCAGTATATTTTTACAACAACGTATGTGGTGATAATGATTTGTATTGTGAATTAATTGCTTAAAATAAACGCGTTAAATTCTGCAATTTTACTAAAGGTTAATGAAACATTTCAGGTAAATGATGTTTTAAAAAAATAGTATAAAAAAAAACTGAAGAAATCGATACGTTGAGATATGAAATTATTCTGAAGTTTGCAGCATTTCTTATATTAGTGTAGAGGTTGTCTGTGCAGTGAGTTTGGAGCATTTTTGGTTCGTTTTAGAAATGCTTAAAAATTGTTCGCAAAAGTGGCGTTTGTAAGCGATAACTTAAGTTTTGAGCGTTATTTTCTTCAGAAAATGCAAGTAAGTATTTTTAATTAGTCGGATCTGTTGCTATGCATGTCTATATGTAATTAAATATTGCTTGTTACAGCAAGTGGACACAGATCCGCCATCCCTACCGGTTGGTACGGAGGTAAGTGCCAAATACAAAGGAGCCTTTTGTGAAGCTAAAGTTAGCAAAGTGGTTCGTAATATAAAAGTAAAAGTGGCTTATAAGCAAGGACTAGGATCGGGAATTGTGTCAGACGACGTAATAAAAGTTGCACCTGGTCAACTGCGCGTCGGTGCTACTGTTGAAGTTCGTCATCCTGATCGTAAGGACTTGGTAGAATGCACAGTTACTAAAATTCAAGATTGCTCGCAATATACGGTAGTTTTTGATGATGGAGATATAACGACATTGCGCCGCACAGCTTTATGCCTCAAAAGTGGCCGTCATTTCAATGAGAGTGAAACTTTGGACCAGCTACCATTAACTCATCCAGAGCACTTCGGAAATCCTGTTGTAGGAGGTCGTCGGGGACGCAGACGTGGCCAGTTGAACGATGATAGTTCCGATGAAGAAGATGAAAGCGATGCCAAAGAAGTTGTCAACGAAAAGGAGGAACACATAGGAAATGTTGTATGCGTGGAAATGGAAACAAAGAAGAAAGATAAAGAAAAGTGGTTTCCAGGGCTTATATTAGCTCCTACAGCTCAAGTAATTATTGATAATTATATACCTAAATTCTTTTTAGATTAGAAAATGTAATACTTTTTAGGCAAATGTACGGATTAGAGTTAAGGATGAATATTTGGTAAGATCATTTAAAGATGGTCGATATTATACGGTTCCAAAGAAAGAGACAACCGAATTTACTCGTGAAGCGGCAGCTAAACAGGATGGTCAAGCAGTACAAGCTGCACTTCAATACTTAGATAGTGGAGCACTACCTCCCCATTGGGATCGTGAATCTTTATTTGGATTAAATAATTCTTCCAGTGAGGGTGATGGTGAATTGGAATCCGATTCGTCAGATGATGAACCACGGGAGGAAAAAGATCGTTTTGTGGCTCAATTGTATAAATATATGGATGATCGTGGAACACCATTAAATAAAGTACCATCAATTCAAAATCGGGACGTTGATTTATATCGTCTATTTCGAGCAGTACAGAAATGTGGTGGTTACAACCGTGTTACCGCAAAAAATCAATGGAAATCTATAGCGGTACGCTTAGGTTTTACGTCAATAACAGTTAGTGTAACCAATCTGGTTAAGCAAGCGTATAAAAAATTTCTTCAACCATATGGTGAATTTCATCGTAAACTTGGATGCTCAATGCTTATGACACCTCGTAATTCTAACCGAAGTAAGGGCCGTAGTTTAGTTCGAGCAAACTCTGTTGCTTCCCCAAAGCCAATTGACAGCAGTAAAGAGTCCTTGAACAAACCTGCAAACAACACTATAGCTGCGCCATCGTTTTCATCATCGTCATCTGTCTCTAGTAGCCAAAATATTGCAGCATCGTCAGTTGTAACAACAACCGCCAATGTAATTACGGTAGTAACTCCTTCTGTGACGGAAGAATCGGAAAATACAAGCGAATCCAGTCTGGATACTGCCAAGAATAAGAAAAAAACCGTAGTGGGAAAAGTTAAAGGTCTTGTTGAAAAGTATGAAGAAAAATCGAGAGATGATTGCGATGTGCCGCTTTCAAAAATTAGGACGTCGGCCGAGACTCCACGATGTGAAGAGAAGGATAAGGCACCATCTCTAAAGGATGTTCCTGCCGCCCCAACATCACATATAAGAGACTCTTCACCCCCAGGTATGTTAATATTGATGCTGAGTGCATAGTTACTGTGCTAATTTATTAATATTTATTTTGTTTATATATATATATGCGGTTTCTTCATTTATAATTATATGATTTTGATCTTTATGCGATGGTAAGCATTTGCAAGTACACCACGTAAGTTCCATATATTTTCAAAGGTTTCTGGTTGAACATTGTATGCAGAATCGACCGCTTTAGCCCAAATTTCCACTTCTCCATTTGATGTGGTTTCCATTTTGATTCGACCAGTCCAAAGAGACCAACCGTAATGTCGGCCATCAGGCTGATCTTCCTGTTGAATTTTTGCAACATGCCAAGTTTTGCCTTGGTCAGCGGTCAAATCAACCCGTACAATGCGGCGACCTCCACCTGACCAAGCATATCCGTGTACAGTTAGATATCCATCAGCTGGTATTTTGAGTACTTCGCCTTCTGTAGGGCTACATATTGCAGACGTGACTGGCATTGCCTGTATGGCTGGAGATTTCGTAAAATCAACTGTATCCCAGTCCGTACTTGGACTGAATCCTTTATAATCACTCTGCTGCCAATGTGAGTTAGATTCAGCTTCAGAGACTGCGATACGAGTTAACCATTTGACATTACGCGCACCTACATTTCCGGGTACAATGCATCGCAAAGGGTATCCGTGGTCACGACTTAGAGTTTTACCATTCATTTCATATGCAAGTATGACATCACCACGTTCATCCAATGCTTTGGAAAGTGGAATAGATGCGCCATAAGGATGTGAAGTAGGATCGAGGTCGGCTCCTTCTAAAACAACATGCAAGTTTTCATTTGGTTTAACCCCCATTTCCAAAAGAAGGTCTCGTAAGCAAGCTCCCGACCATGTTGCATTACCCACTGCACCTGCATTCCAAGAAAGGCCTGAAATGCAACTTTTTAAATAAATGGGACATTAATAGTTATAAGAATATTTTTTATCCTGACCTTTAACAGATTTCACCTTTGTCATATCAGAGCGGCGGTTACCACCACACATTATGGCTGCAGTAACTGTGTATTTTGGCAATCCTTTGATGTCTTGCAAAGTTAATGTTTTAATTTGTTCCTTCGTTCCCGATTTTGTCGTTTCAATAGCAATTTCCAGTTCATATTTATTGGCATCAATAAAAGGAACTGGTAAATGATTTCTAATATAAAAAAATTCATTTGGGGTAATAAAGTTTTGTACGAGAAGCTTTAATGGCGGCTCTCCGTTGAATGGCCTAGTTGATGCTGGTTTAAGCACTGGATGACGTTTAGGCTCATTAGCCCATGGGGAACCCATATCATCTGTGCTTATCGTATCGTCTGGACTTAAGTTTCCAATACGATAAAACTCCAAAAGGGTTAAAATTTCTCTGTTACTATGTTGCTGATAAATAGCCCAAAATGGGTCAATTGCACTGCCCGCTCCCAACATAATATTATCACCACCTGGATGTTTGGCAATGAAGTCTGTTATGTCATATACACCAATTCCATAAGTTACCCAAATACGCTTTTCAATATTACAATGATCTTGTACTTCATCCATATTATATGTTGGCAAATCAGATCGTGCATTCATATGCCAGTCTGGTTGTTCTTCTTTTGATTCTGTGCTTGAGATTTCATCAATATGAATTCCGTCCATTTTCACTCGAAATAGTTTATATTTGTGTTCGTACAGGGCAAAACCGCCGATCACTCCACCAAGTGCTAAAAATGCGTACAAAATTGTTTGTTTGGGATTAATATTCTGTTTATTTGAAATGTGTGAAAAACGATGTTGTGCATGATAGTTGGGTATGTACTCTGCGCATCCTAATCGAAGGAAGAAAGCTGATGTGCATATCACATGATTATTTCGCGGTGTTAACTTTAGAGACCGTATGCCTATCATATTATCTCGATCTGAAATAAACACAGCAACTAAATTTATTATCACTACTTGTGGTGCAATTAAATATAATGAACTTAAATCTATAAATAATTTTAGTGAATGGAATGTGTTATTGCGCTCCCAAATATGTCGTCGTTTTCAGCACAGCCTTCACATAAAAATGAAATTTATTTCTTATCATCAAAGTTTGTACAAACTAATATACTATATGTATACAAACTATTATCTTTGTCCTTGTGTTAGGCATGAACTTTATAATAGAAAGATCAAACGAATTGTTCGTCTTAAATGTCCTATGTTTGTTTTGAAAATTTCATACTGCAACTGTTAAGGAGTTGTACTTTATTTTAGTCTGTAAAGCTATCACTCATAAATTATCATATGGATGTACAGTTTAGCGTGGATTCATATACCTTCATTACTAAACCTTAAGAAAAATATTTCACTCATGCGTGCACATTTATACACACATATACATATATATAGATATAGATATATATACATTTTGATAACCGTATTCCATATTATTTCTTTAACGAGTTCCTTATATAGTATATGATTGATACCCCCATTGCAGGTACAAGTGCTGGAAGTAAAAAAGATAAAAGTCAAAAAAGGCAAACCCCTCAGAGTGACGACAAGCGAAACAAACGGAAAAAAGATGACACCATTGAAAAGGTAGATGCCGGCGATTTTATTGTTGAGGTAGGCGATAAACTTAAAGTTTATTATCATGAGAAAAAGGTGACTTATGAAGCAAAGGTTATCGAAATATCTGTACAACGGGGTTCACCGATGTACCTGGTTCATTACACCGGTTGGAACAATCGTTATGATGAGTGGGTACCTAGAGAACGTATTGCTGAAAACATAACTAAAGGGTCAAAACAGAAAGGGCGTATGTCAAGTGCAAGCGGAATGGAGAAGCAAAAGGAGAACCCTTCAAAGCCACCTTCGGTTTCCTCTTTGAATCCGTCAGGTCCTCCAAATTCGATGGTAAATATAATAGGCAACACATCAATATCAACAAAGTTGTCAGTATCATCAAAACGTGGTCGTGGTCGAAGTGACTCGCTCCCGCCGCGTTCCACTACACCCTCATCAGTGGCATCTAACTCCAGCCGAACAAAATCACCTGCTACATCTGGTCTAAAAAGAAGACCAATTCGTTCAATGGTTAATACTACACGACGTACGTCAGCAAACGTTTCTGATGTTTCTTTGCAAAGTGAATCTGACACGGACTCCGATGAACCGGTAAGACGTCCAACGCGTGGTAGTAAAGAAATTGAGTACAAATCAGAGTCTTTAAGTGGTAAAGGGACAAACAAGAGTATCAACTCGGATACAGATGTTGACGATGACGAGGATGATACTTCAATTATTATAGGAACCAATAGTAATTCCACAAAGGGTCGTAATTATGACCTTAATCAAATTCGATCTGAACTAAGGGGCTTAAAATCCCCTTCGCCATCATATGTGCGAAACGCCGAATCGATGTCAAAAGTGACACAGCCGATTAAAGTAGAGAGCGTAATAGCTGTTAAAGATGTTTGTTCTTCTAAAAGCAAAGCAATGATAGAATCAAATGCTGAGGTGATCGCCATTAAACAAGAAGTGAAACAAGATCAAAAAGATGATAATGTGAAATCGTCTACGGATATGTCTTCAGAGACGGAATCATTTTGTGATGATGACTCACAATCATCAGGCAAAACGACAACTCTTGAAAACATGACAAAAAGGTTTCAGCAAAAAATAAAAGCAGGAAAACAACAAGCTTTTGAAAAACTTTCCTGTGGAAACCCTGCAGTGGAACGTGTACCAAAAGTTGTAGAAAAAATAATACAGGATTCACTCGCAGAAAAACTTCAGGAGATTCTCAAAACCAAACCGGAAATAAATAAAGAGGAAGGCTTAGAGGCGAATGTTAACGACACTGCCTTATGTAAATCGGATATTGATAAAGAAGATAGTAAACAAAAATCCTTACAAACTGAATTAATTCAAAAGAATACCTCAAATATCCAGCCCAGATTTGAAAGCACCACATGTAGTAGCAAGTATTCATCCCTAATTTTAGAAAAGCCAGAATGCTCTAATAAGAAGATAGAATCTGGTTGTTGCAAAAAGACAGACATTAGCAGAAAAGGAGTCATAGATAGTATAGAAAGCCAATCAAAAAAAAGTATAGAACCTCTGGTGAAAGAGTTAAATAAAGGTGAACCGTCAGCAGCTTGTTCTCCATCCTCATCATCTTCATCGTCATCCGCATCGGCATCTTCATCTTCTCGTTCATTACCAGACATGAGCAAGCTAGATATTAGTGGAGGATCTTCGACTTCTTCAATATATGTGATGCCTAATAAAGACACAAAGTTAATATCTATTGCTCCGAAGGCGACATCACCTGATATTTATGAGTTCAAAGATCCGGAACCCTTTGAATTTGAATTACGAAAGTTACAAACTACCAGCGCAAATATTTCGTCCTTGACCACGGGTATAACAAGTGCATGTAATGTATCTGGAATTTCTCGAAAATCAACTCAAAAAAGTGTAATTTCACAAATTTTAGTTAACGAAAAGCAACAACCACCTCCAAACCCAATGACCGCTTTAGTAAATCGCAAAAAAAAGGGCTCGCCAATGAAGGAAGCTGTAGTAGATAAATCTAAGTTACTTAAAACTGAGGGAAAATTAAATATAATGTCAGATGGAAAAATCAATAAAATTGCTTCTACTATTTCAGTCGTAACAAAAAGTACATTAGATAGTCAAACGAACTTAATGACTCTGAATCCATTATCAGAAAATCAGCAAATCAGTCTTTGTAGTAACTCGATTACACAGAAAACAGATACACTGAATAATACATCATTCGATACATTGAGAACTTCACCAAATTTCAATGTAAACATAAACGCCTTAAATGAGGAGTTAGCGCAAACAGTACAGGAAACAACCAGAGCCCTTACTGATGCTTTTCAAAAACCAAAGCTATCTTCTTTACAGGAAGTCACTGGTACGCCTCCAAATTTGGCGTCTGCGAAACAAAATGATATTGAGAATTTGATGACATCTTCTAAAAACCAACAAGAAAACGTTTCAACATTAATTAGTCCGTTACCGACAGCGCCCATTAAGACAGTTATTGGCAGTCCATTTATAGAGACACGAAAAGATCTGAGCAATGTTTTTGAGTTGAGTACGAGCGAAGGATTTACATCATTAAGTGAATCGAAGGACAATAAGTTTGAATTCGAGAATGCTAAGAAAATGCTTTCTGCAACATCAGACGCATTCGATTTAGAACCTGCTAAGTACGAGAATAGGCCGACATCCATCGCTGATAAACTTTTAAAAGCTATAAGTCAAAAAAAAGAGGAAGATAAATATAAAATTGAGCCTAAAAATGAGAAAGGAGAAGATGGCGGATCTTCGAAAGATGATTTTACGGTTGTAAAAAATACAGCAGAGTTGATACTTGGAAATGATTGTGCTTCAAATGAACCATTAAACATTAACATAGATTTAGCCGGTTCTCCCATGAGCTTCGGTAGTAATTTAAGTTTAGAAAAAGTACCCATCATAACTGGCTCAATAAATAAACCCATTCCTCTTACAAGCCCTGAACCGAAGTTGGGAATACTAGAGTCGATTACAGTAAAAAATAATGACTTAACGGAAACAATACAGAAACTTGAATGTGCCATTCAACGGAAAACGCCAGTCAGTGGACTTTCAGTTACAACTACACCAAACACATTTTCAGAGGATTCGATGGATAGTACTGATTCGGAACGTCGCCTTGTTATAGAAGACGTGGCTGAAGACATGTGTGATATTCTTAAAAGTCCCAACGATTCACAGCATATTGGTGAGACAAAAATAAGTATATTATCACATAAAACAGATGTTGCTGTCAGTAAAGCAGTGACAGACAACATTTCACCGCATATAAGAGCTGATTCTCAAATCCCCCAAACTCCACATACAAGTCGACAATGTCTTAGTGCATCAGTTCCGTTTCCAACAATTTCGGCCCCTGTAGTTGTGACTTCAGCAAACAAAATATCAACAGGCTTACATGTTGTGGCTGATATGACAAACGAACAGAAAGGGCCACAATTTGGAAATCAGGAAGTACAAAAGAAAGACAAGCGAAAGCAAGAAGGGAGCCTATCTGTGGGCATTGAAAATAGTGCTGATAATGAAACAAGGTCTAATGAAAACACTAATTTAAGAGATAGTTATGGTGTTAAGTCTTTTGAAACTGTTGCGCCATCATCTCTAATTGAAAGTTCTAAGCAATACACTCAAAGATCAACAGATGTTGTACCGATTTTGGTTCCAGATATTCCAGTTTCGGTTGTTGTAGCTTCTGGAGCGGTGCCCTCAGTAAAAGCCGCAGCACAGGCAGCAGCTGAAGCAGCAGTTCAAAGTCCTACTTCAAAAATTCATACCATCTCAAATGTGGATCATAAAGCCCCAGTATCTAAAACACTCATACCTTCAAATTTAATTGTATCTTCCGAAGAAACTGTGACTATAGATAAAAATTTGGAGAGTAATATTAATATTCAAGACTCGAGTGTATATATTGATGCATCAAATGATTTGAAAATTACTCCGCCGTCAACAGTAATCTGCCCATCAGTCGCAGGTATATCAGCTAATTCAGGCTTTTATTTGGATATGCGTACAGAGCTCCGACCTGAAGACGGTGTAAAACCTATTAACGACGCTTCAAACACAACTTCTGAGATTGATCGTTTTAGCTGTAAAAAAGTTGAAGGCAGTTTATGTGCTGATGAATTAGCTTCTAATTTTGGTGTTGATACCAATAATGAGTCTATAAACCTTCTTTGCGAGGAAACAATTCCTGGCAGTCCAACACCTGCTTTTGGAGGAAAAGAGGAACCTTCGGGAACACAATTAGCTACAGAGAGCACTTTACTGTTGGATAGCAACATTAAGATTTTAACTGTCACGGAGCCAGGTGCTTTGCTTGCTAATATGAATAATTCCCCAAATGATTCAGCAAGCCATGATGACAGCAGTGAGGATGTAAAAAAACAAGTTGATATGGAGAACGAAATATCCCCTAGAAAACGTCGGCGACCCAGAAAGCAATCAGAAATGATCATCATATCAGATCACCATACCAAACGTCGAAGACAAATGGCATGTATGAAAAAGATTCCAGGTTAGTTAAATTCGTGAAATATAAGTATACATTATAGAAGTAGTTTACACAAGTATATACATACACATACAGTTGCGAGCATTGAAATAGTAGTGGCTATTGACAAAAATAGTTTCGCTTTAAATTTTGTTTCTTTATAGTATTGAAGTTGATTATTATTCTAGTTATATTCTCTGTAGTGTAACGGTCCTGTTATACACAACAATAAGTGCGAAACACCGTTACTTTTTTACAGCTAATTATATTGTGATATCTATCTTTATGAGCGAGCATTAAAATAGTAGTGAACGGTGAGCTGATTGGACACAGATTATTTTTACTAAAAAATATTTAATTTTATCAATCAAAAAGTAAGTTTTTTGTTATTTTATTAATTATCCAACGAAAAAAGCTAAAAAATATGACTGTGCATATTTTAGTGGGCCGCGGGAAGCACTGCAGTGAAAAGAAACGAAAATGGATACAATCCCTCATAAACAACGGTAAATCCTACAAGGGAGTGGAAAGAATTGTAGGTTGTTAAGCCACAACGACTCACAATGCAATTATTTATAAAAAAAAAAATACGAAAAACGGGGCGCACTATGGATTCTTTCCGAGAATTTTACACCAATAGTTGTAAGATGTGCCAAGACTCGACCTAGAATGTCAGCTATGGAGATTCGGAATGAACTGAACCTGGTCTGCGATATTCATACAGTGAGCAGACTTCTACATGAACATAATTTATATGTCCGCAGTCCTCGATAAGTACCGTTATTAAAAAAAATCATATAGCAAGTCGTCTTAAATTTGCCAAAGGACCGTTAGAGAAATGGCGCAACATCTTTTAGACAGACGTGTCGCAAGTTATTCTATACGGCGGTAAAGGGTCCCGTCAGTATCTAAGACGCTCCCCTACTAGAGAGTCACCAGCAGGGTGGCAAAGGAGTGGTTTCGGGTCAATGGGGCAGACGTTAAGAAAGCCGTATGGAATGACAAACCCAAAAACAACAATGAGTTGTGGACCGTAGTGCAGCAAGCATGGCAGAACATACCACTAAAAAGATGCCAGAGTCTCGTAGATTCTATGAAGAGGCGTTGTATTGCTGTTATTAAAAATCATGGCCAAGCTACCAAGTACTAATATCTCGTATAGACGGAACTTCCAAAAATCCTTCAATTTAAAAAAAAAAATTATTACTTTACTACTATTTTACTGCTCCCATCAAATTTCATATATAAACACAACTTTGTGAATAAATATATCTTACACCCATTCAAATTAAACTTTTCCATTTCAATTGATGTTAAAATTGTTTAGAATTTTGCATAACTCACAGGTATGTAAAACTCTAACACCCACTACTATTTCACTACTCACAGCTGTATATGTGACTATGAATTATAGCGAATAATTAAATATAACGTTATAAAAAACTTTATTTATAGCAGGTTCCGATAGCGACGAAAACTCGGATGGTACATCGCAACGAATTCTTGAATCCCGGCATCATTTCCAACAACAATTTCAACTACAACAGCCACAAACATCCGTTGGAATTCGATCTTGTCCCTATAACTTCTTGGTACACTTAGGTATAATTAACATGAATATATTAGTGTTGCCAGCAAGATTTTATTTTAATTGATTTTTCCCTCTACAGATCCGAGTCTAGGGTCTGACCAGTGCATTGCTATTTTATTAAAACAAATTCAGGAATTGCGGAAAACCTATAATGCAATCAAAATCGACCTCGCGAGTATTGATCGAAGACGTAAAAAATTACGACGACGGGAAAGAGAAAAGAAGCAACAAGTGCAAAATCAACAAGTTAAAATTTCTTAATTATGTTTTACATAAATACAGAATGTGAAGAATTCTACAATTAAATTGAGTTATACATATGTATATGTATATTTATAAGTAATGTTTTTTATAAAAATAAGCTCTTTAATTCTATTTTGTAGAAATAAAACAATGTTTCTTTAAATATAAATCAGACGAAATTTTTACTTTTTGAAAAAATTCGAGATTTCGTTTTTATAAATCTATTTTAAGACACCGAATAACCTCCCTCTAAGTTTAACTGATGTCCATTTACAAAACTTGAGTTACTACTTAACAAGTAGACTATTCCATTGACTACTTCTTGTACCTCGCAAAACCGATTTAGAGGTATATGTGCTAATAGCGGACCAGATTTTTCTTCGTCACTCCAATTTTCACGTCCCATTTGTGTTAGAACTACTGTAGGATTAACGGAATTTACTCGTATTTGCTTGGGTCCAAGCTCTAAGGCTAATGAACGTGTCAATGAGTCGACAGCAGCTTTAGTAGCACTATAAACAGCATGACCGTGAAATGATCGAGAAGCAGCTAATGAGGATGTCATCACTACGCTCGATCCTTTTTTGAGCTTCGGCAAAAGTGTTTGGGTAACGTTGAAAACTGCCTTGATGTTAATATCAAATGTGCTTTACGAGAAATATCGATATAAAATTTAAAAAGTTTACATCATAAATACTATGCATATTATACTCATCAAAATCCTGCTCTGTCAATTCAGTGAAAGGTTTGATAATTGCTACACCAGCATTGTTCACCAAACCATCAATTTGTGGGAGTTTCGATAGGATATCCCGTGTATTCTGCCAATTTTTAAGATCTACTGGTATGGTTTCCACAGTTGAACATATATTCTTAAGTTCCTCTAATTTTTCCACCGACTTTGAAAGCGCAATCACTTTAGCACCTGCTGCTGCCAAATGCTGGCATAAAGCTCTACCAATGCCTGTACACGTACATTTATAAAATTATATGTTCTATTAGTTAAAAATGATCGCCATTTATACAAAAGAAATTAGAATGCATACCTTGACCAGCTCCTGTTACTACGATGACTTTGCTTTCCAAACTTGCCAACATTGCTAATGTATTCACAAAAATTCTAGTTTAGTCCACTCTGAGATAACACTTATAATTTACGCAGATATGTCCAAGATGTGAATAATGATCAGCAGTACTTTACACACTGTACCTTTGGATGATTTGCAGTTAATATTAATGCACAGAAGCTTTCAATTAAAAGCTTCTAAATAAAACAGAGAACCTTATCAAACAAAGCTCCAACACATATCAAGATCAAAGCTAAATAATTATTTTTATTTACTACTTTCACTAGTACGTAAATTATTATATATGTACATAAATATATTTTCCATTACAAACGCATACATTATCGTTCATACCTTTTCATAAAATGTTCAGTGTTCTCTCTTAAAATGAAAAGTTGTTTGTCGAAAATTATGTTGGGGCCATATGTAAGTCCTAGGCAAAGGTCTGTTCGATTTTATTTTCCTTTTCTTTTGTATTGTTTTGTTTTTATGATGCAAAAATAATATTTTTTAAAGAATTTAACAATTAAAATGCGTTTTTAAGTGATAAGCGAATACGAATACGAATAGATTGTAAATAACATAAAATCATCAAAATGTATAAAGAAAGTAACCTAAACATTTTTAAACGAAAAACCAAAACAATTTAATTTAGTTATTGCTTACTAAAAGGTGAATAATTATAAAAAAGGACATTAGCATAAGAAACAGCCTTCATGATTAATTAAATCCTTTTAATCTTCCCTACATAAATTTTCTAATTTTAATAAAAAACTATATTCCTAGAAATATTAGATTATATCGATTCTTTATGTTCGAGACACGTATTATATTTTCGGGATCAACAGGAGCTCAACAAAATTTTCACCTTTCTATAGATTTGTACCATAATAACTGATTAAAATAGTTTGAAATTATAAATAGAATAGTTCTTTTTATCCATTTTCTATGAATACTTTTCCTAAATAAATTCATTAACTAGTTATATGGAAAGCAGGCGTGGTCTCGGACGGTGGTATGGAAATGTGAGAAGAATGTAACGATATGTGATTTTACCAAAATGTGGACGTATTTAATTATTGATTTATCGGGCTTTTAGTAGTTAATAATATTTACGCTAAGCAAATTTGGTTGTTGTAGTTTTAGTGGTTTGGAAGATATGTACATTGACCTTATTAGAGGGCGGGGCCATGCTTACTTTTTAAAAAATGTTTGCCCACAGATGCTCTTTGCTACTGCGATACCCTGTACCAAATGTTATGGCACTTTATAGGTTTTCGGCTAATACGTTTTTGGGCGTGGCAGTGGTCCGATTACGCCCATCCCATTCGTCCGATAATTAAAAATTTATTGTATGGGAAAGGGTGAAATTCTATTAAAATTTATTACTATTTTTCTATTAAGCATGTATTGTAATGACACATTAACGGCTTTTAAATCCTGTTCGTTGCAGATTCATAAGTTAAATTCGTTTAAGGACCCTTTTTTTTTACTAAAAAATATGAAAAAGCGTTTCTATAAACAAGGTAAGCAATGAAAGTAATACACCCAACTCCTTTTGTTTGTTCGCATGATATTTACATTGCTGAAATGGATATTCCCAGCGATGATACAGACTTTAGTCCAGTTCCACGACAGTCGGGTCTACGAAAACCGGAACGGACCCGGATTTTTATCCGGCCAATTACTGTCAACTCGGAAGAATTCTGCCGTTACAACAACAACAACTTTAGTCCAGTTCGTCGCAAACAATTGCTCTTGTTATCAAGTAGCGACGAATAATTATGTAGCTATGTAAATATTTGTTCCTTATTTATATTCTAATTTTTCTGCTCTTAGTTGTGGATTAACAGATTTCTTTAGTTTTTTTGCTTAATCTACCACTTTTTCAAATATATTATGTATTTTAAGTTTTAATGCTCAATAAAATGCCACATGAACATACAATTTGTATGCATACCTGAAATTTATAGTTTTCAACATTTTTTACACGGTTTTTTGAAGTAAATATAGTTCTTTATTTCATCTTACACAGTTTTCAGATGGCATGGAACGTATTCCCCATTTTACTATAGGAAACGCCTCTTTTTTTACACGGATTTCTGAGGAACGTACATATTTACCGTGTAAAAAAAAAAAAGAGTTGGGTGTACCGTCTAAACCTACAAGAAACAAATCCTAATTTTTCTGAGCTAGATCATGTGCCATCGAACGAAAGCAGCTTCTGAGCTAGATCATGTGCCATCGAACGAAACAAATAATCAGACGGTGCAATATCTGGGGTATATGAAAAAAAATGCGCCTGACTCCCAATGCTGAAGCATAATCTTCTTGCGTTTGACACGAAATAACATTTCTCATTTACAATTAATATCCAAATCTCCGTCTGTGAAGCGACGAATCCAATCACGACACCTTGCTTCACGTGGGTTGTGGCTTGAATCCTTTAAACGATTTTTCGACTCCTTCTTATATATGTACATATATTAACACAATGGCAAAGGGATGGAAAACTCAGTCATTTCTATTACTAAATGCATCTCAAAAATTGATTTGATGATTGTCGGTCAAAGTGCAAATTGTTGAAATATAAGACTGCTAATTTGCGGCTTTGTAATTAAAACCGTTTTATTTTTTGAATATTTTGTATACAAACTACAATTTAACTGTAATAAATTTGTAATCTTAAAGAAAACTAAGTTTTACCATTGGTTACTTCTTTAAATGTTGAGATACTGCCGTTAAATATCTAGATAAGTTGTGAAATTATCATATTATCAAATGGGTAACGTTTACGAAAATTGAGAGCATAATGTATTATCGTATTAAAAGAATTAACACATATAGTGTTAGTTACACCACTATAGTGCACAAAAACATAAAATATCTTCATACTTATTCATATAAAGAAATTATATAATACTTATTTGTTAGAAATACTACACAAGTATTTTTAATCAATAACTGCAAGCAAACAGAATACCGTTATTGGAGTTTTGGGGGAAATCTTAAGTGTATTACATATTTATTAATTTTTATTATATCATTAAGAAAATTGATAAGTTGATTATGAAGTGTATAGCAGCTTAAGCGCGCTCTCCTCTGATTCGACGAGCCAATTGAATGTCCTTCGGCATAATAGTTACGCGTTTGGCATGAATTGCGCATAAGTTAGTGTCTTCAAAAAGACCGACAAGATATGCCTCAGATGCTTCCTATTTGATCAAGATAAATAAATGTTTAAAATTGAATTCGATACACTTAATTTACTTTTGTTAAACTTACCTGTAAGGCACCTATGGCAGCTGATTGGAAACGCAAATCAGTTTTGAAATCTTGAGCGATTTCTCGAACCAAGCGCTGAAATGGCAATTTTCTAATAAGCAATTCAGTGGATTTTTGATAACGACGAATTTCGCGTAAGGCTACTGTTCCCGGGCGATAACGGTGCGGTTTCTTTACGCCGCCAGTTGAGGGGGCGGATTTACGAGCTGCCTTTGTAGCAAGTTGCTTGCGTGGTGCTTTTCCACCGGTAGATTTACGTGCAGTTTGCTTAGTACGAGCCATTGTTCTTTTTTCTTCTTATCTGGAAATTATTTATAAAAGTTTTAAATCAACGTATTTGTGTGTTAAAATAATAATAGTTAATCTTCTAGCCTTGAATATTACTATAATAGTAATAGTTTTGCAGACGCCCTTGAATCTTTATTTCCCAAAAATAACTACGTTGACTCTATAGCGCCCAGTAGAATCCTGGAATTCATTAGTGTGTTGGGCATTTGTAAGTCGGTGTGGTAAAGGGGAGCGCAGAGCGCAGTACCGACATATTTTTAACATAATATATTGGAAGTTTCTTATTAATTTGACCTTTGATTTTCTTCTGGTCGTTCCGGAATGTATAATTATGTGCAAAATTATTGGTCAGATGACATTGAAATTAACGATTTTCATTCAGGCAGTTGCTCATAATACTTGTGCATTATCTTTAAATTAAAATGACGAGATTGAAATTAACGATTTTTATTCAGGCAGTTGCTCATAATACTTGTGCAGTATCTTTAAATTATTTCGACCAAATTACAAAAACCATAATATATTTTATGTAATGTTGCATTAAAATATGTAAATATTATTTGACAACAGCTGTTGAAATGTTTAGTGTACTTATGTATATCCAAATATTTTTAGAATGCAGATAAAATTGTAAAGTGAAAAATCTGTTGAATTTTATGTTTTAAACAAAGGTATAGTTAAATTAATTCTGAGGTTTGCAGAAAATTATTGAGGCTAACACAATTTTTGTCTGTGATAATTCAGTACAATGCTTGCAGCGAATGAGTGTCAGGTAACCATATAGAACGAAAATATATTTTCAAAAACGATGCAAAATATCAATATATTTTAATATTTACGGCTAATAAATGTTTTTATGTACAAATGGGAGTTCAAACCATTTTTCTGGAGATCATGAAAAAGTAGGAAATGCCCACTATTCCAAATTAAAATTCGTCGAAATAAATCATGAAATTAAAGTCTTCCGTGTTTTAGGATACATCTTTTTGAAAATTTCAATTAATATATACTTCACTTTCAGAGAAGTCACCGAAAATATGTGATGTAACAAAAAAGGTAAGCAAATATTTTGATGAGAATAACCAAGATTAGGAAACGAATTTAAAAAAATAAGTTTTATCGCTGTCATAATACAGATACATTTTTTTTCATTTGCTATAATAAAACTCCACTCTGGGGTTAAAATTGGTATGTACCTATCCTCCAGATCAAGAAAAATATGATAAAACTCTAATCAGGATGAACCGAGGTACTAATCGAATATTGCATACTAGTTTTTGAAATTTAGTGCTATAAAAAGTTATTTATTAGCATTAAACTACAATTAATTTTTTATACAAAAATTGATATGTTGCGATCTGGAGACATAAAAATAATCTAATTAAATGGTTATCCAGTCATATGTGCAATTTCTGAAAAAAAAAAAAAAAATTATTAGCACGACGGGACTTTTTGTTTTCCACATTACTTACTCAGTCTTGAAAGTATCAATATTCCGTAATTTGAATTGTTCCAGCATTAACTGTACTTAATTCTTGCGAAAAACATAGTTTATATTTAACGGTCAAAATTTTTGAATCAATTATATATAATTACCGCCAAAACTTGTCATTTATGAATTTTATACAAAATTGTCCTTTTGCAAATAATAAACATCTACTTCATAGTAGCAGCTGTTCAATAGACGGGTATATAAAATAAATTAAGCGCGAAATACTGAGTATCCATACACATATAGCTATGTATGAACACACAAGCAAGCTCTTTCATACTAGATTGATGGATACACATCTGTATAAAATCACAATTATCGAAGAAAAAATATTTATGTATACATACTTCCAAAAAAAAAAAAAGAAAACTGTTTGTATTCTCGCAGATAGTATACGCAATTCGTTTTTATCTCTAATAATTTAAACAACTTCATTTTATCCAAGACTACTACATTAAGTTTCCCATTATACATATATGTATATAATAAATGTTTCAAGAACTATGCATTTAAAAACTAAACTATGAAGTACAATGGCGGCCATTTTGAAAGTGGTAACACCAATGCATCATCCAAAACGCCATTACCATTAGATAGTTATTCATAGAAAAACTTTTAACCCCACTCAAAGCTAAATCTCTAGGTTGGTTTATAAAATAAATAGGTAAACTGGAATTACTTACATTTATATATTTACTGCTTTAATAAGTATTGAGAAATTTATAAACACCTTTAAACTGTAATAAGTGTAACTCAATCACCGTCTGCTTCAATAATGAACTATAAATGAATTTCGTCGAATCTACTCTTCTGGAAGACAGGGTTACCGAAATCGCTTCACCAAAACTGATTACTTTTTAAAATAATTACGTGGTTACCATGATTCAATCATAAAAGGTTGTGTCGATACGGAGCGTGCTTCCTCTTACACAAGACGTATTTGTATCCATAAAACCCAAATGTTGTCTTTGGTTTTTCTCATGAATTTTCTGTTTATAGCTTGCTGATTTTGGGTACAAAACACGTATTTCCGTAGTTTAAAATCTATAAAATTGTTTTGAATCATAAAAATAAGAAAAAAACAGCTGATTTTGACATTTAGTATTCAATTACTTTTGCAAAATTTTTGTCTTTTGGATATCCACACGCCTTATATAATCGTGGCTATTACTTTCCCACGGTTTGTGTTGATGTTACATACAAAATAAGAAGCAAACTATACCAAAAAATAATCTCCACCATCTATGAAGCGATATCTGCACCAAAAATAATTTCTCACATGATATCACCGTGAGGAAAGTTCTCTGAGCGCCATTCACTTGGAAATGATTATTTTACATATGACTTAAACAACTCTATCCTCTGGGTAGCTAACGAACATCCGTTTAAGGGCGAGATAAACTGAGAAGGCGAACAATCCCTCCTAAGGGTTGTGCGCTGGGTTTGGGACCCGCCACGTAAAAAACGCCCCAAAGGAAAGCAATAAAGAATCTTGGAAGAGAAACCCCACTTTTGTTGACGAACACTGCAAACTCATTAAGGATTACGATTGAAGCGCATGCATCTGAAATGTCCGGTCCTGTAATTGGGAAGGTGCCGCTGCCTAGCTGGTTGATGTCCTTGGTAGAGTTTACTCTAACCGACATAACCGCAAACCAAGTAGTGCGATGGATGGGACAAGGAGTGAAACGAGTAAGTCTTTGTGCCATTTACTACAGTGGCAATAAAAAGGAGCGCAAATTCGGTGTGGGATTCATGGTGGGGATAGACTCCATCCCTGAGTCCTGGCATTCACACTGGTGGATGAACGTCTAGCCACGATCCGCATCAAAGCGAAGTTCTTCAACATATCGCTGATTTGCGCATACGCCCAGACAGAAGAGAAGGACGATGTGCCCAAAAATGCCTTCAATTAGCCTTGGAGTGCACCAATGAGAGCTGACCCCGCTACGATATCAAGATGGTGCTTGGCGACTTCAACGCTAGGGTGGGCAACAAGGTATCTTTTGCACAATGTTCGGTAAATTGTGCCTCCATGAGGAAACATACCCAAATGGGTTGAGGCTGATCGACTTCGCCGGTGCCCGAAATATGACTATCCGTAGTATTAGATTCCAGCATAGAAAAATTCACCAAGCGATAATGTTATGATAGACAGAAGACATTTCTCCAGACGTAGACGTGCGTACAACTCTCCGCAACGCTGAGTTGAAGAGGGAAGCCAGACGCATTTGAATACTAAAAAGATAGATCGAAAATTCTACGAGAAGATGCGGCGATTAGCCTAAGCAAGGACAAGCGGGGGCCGATGGATTGCTATTCTAATACGGCTGCGAAGAGGTGATAAGGAGCATGCATCAGATTTTCATATAAGGTTCTATCGAGCGTATTGTGTGAAAGATTTAAGCCCACCGTCAATAAACTGATTGGAGTTTATCAGTGTGGCTGTAGACCAGGAAAATCAACAACTGACTAGATAAACAGAGTTAGATAAACAGGTACAATCCTCTATAAGAGTGTACAGCTGCTGGAGTGCGCCGATGTTATTGATATCATTGGCCTCAACAACCCCGACGTTAGTTCTGATTCCTCCAAGCTAGATAAGGAAGCAAAGCAAATGGGTCTGGTGGTGAATGAGGGCAAAACGAAATATTTCCTATCACCACACTAGCGACTAGGCTTCTACGTCACTGTTGACAATGATAACTTCGATGGTGTAGATAATTTCGTCTATCTTGGAACCAGCATTAACAGAAACAATGTCAAAATGTAAATCCAGAGCAGAATGACTCCAAAAGTATTCGACGCAGTAAAGAAGATTCAATTCCCACGACATGTGTATTTTATGAAAGGTGGTGATGTACGTGCGAGGCCTGTAGCCTTCGGCCACGAACACGCTCGGGGTCATAACCCTTAACTAGTCGAGTTCTCTTTATGTGGTTAGGTAGAAGAGGAGGGCGAGTTCTCTTTTGCTGTTCATAAAGTAAATATGCGGACACGATGAAATATTTTCCACAAGTCGGCATTTCGGTTTGCCGGTATTTTGATTTAGCATATTTGTGAGTATTTTGATGACTTTTGCATTTTGAACTTCGGTGTTTTAAGTGTGTACAGCCAAAAGGGAAAGGGAAATGCATTTTGATCTTTTCGGTATTTTGRTTCTCGGAATTTTATTTATTTATTTTACACGTCAGCCTTGGTCGCATCTATTGTATTATTGTTAAATACAAAATTCAGATATTTATAATATAATATTAATACAATTGATTAAAATTCATTTTTATTGTAAATTATAGTTAGGCATAATAGAATAGAATATGTGAATGTGCGTAAACTTACCTGGATTTAAGTTGAATATTTTACACAAAAAAGTATGTACACATATTGCAAAAATATGTATGTGAGTTTATATTTTCCAGCAGCTTTATTTAGGGCTAT